CACTTTTGGGGAGCATGTCACATTGTCTCTTGGCTTTGATGGCCTCCTGCAATGTCCGCAGCAGTGAAGCTTAGTCTACCCCTGTGATCATGGTATCCTTTGCTAGGAAATCCATCCGTACTACTCCATGCTGGTCCCAAAATACTGTGAGCGTGACCTTCCCTGCCAAGAGTTGGGCACTTGCCTTCTTTGGAGGTAGTGAGTCAGGATGCTTCCATGGCATCGACTGGACTTTAGTCTCAGGATTAGAGTGATGGACCCAGCTTTCCTCCCGAGAACTGGGAAGCCCTGGCCCTTGAGCACTCCAGTTGGAGGTTAGTTGTGACCAGCAGTGCTGTAGAATTTGAAGAGGAAGGATTGAAGGATGAAAGAGAGAAATGTGCCAAGAGGAAGGTCCATCAAGCCAACCCCGACCGGGACCGCCTTCCACCTGGAAACCGATGTCCTCACTGTAGGAGAAGATGCAGATCAAGAGTGGGGCTCCATAGTCACCTATGGACCCACCGCCAGGACACCGAACTTGGAGGACCATCATCCTCGGATTACGAGGTATTGCCTAAGTAAGAAAGTCCTCCTGGTTTCCATGGCACATCATCATCAAGAGAGCCTGAGAGCATTTGACTCGTTCCTGCTTCCGAAAAGTATGAGCAGCTGGGGGACCCAGCGAGCAGATACCTGATGCAGGTGAAGATGGCCTTGGGTGATTTTCTCCACAGACCCCACACTCATCTTGACATGTTGAGCTAGGTGGTGAATGGTTACGTGGTGATTTTCCAAAATGGCGGCCTCCACTTGCTGGATGGTGTGTTCATCAAGAGCAAAGTGGGCTCACCCTGGAATTGGAGCTGTTTGCACCAAAGTCCAATCACATTTCAACTGACGATGCCAGTTCTTGACTCCATCGTATGATGGGGAATCATCCCCATAAACTTCTTTCATCTCCTCAAACATCTCCTCTGGTGTGCGGTCGTTAATAAGAACTTTGAACCCCCCCCCCCCCAAATCCGTGGATAAGTGAAACATTCTGAAATTTGGTGGGCTAACAGTGGTAAATGTGTTCTACCATTGTAGCAAGTTTCATTCCAAGGAGCCCTTGAAATTCCACCAATTGTAGTAATTATGCGCAATTACTCTCGAAATTTCATTACTCTCGTTATAGTAACGGATTTTTTACAATAACTATACTTTAGAAACAAAATGCTAGTACCTTCAGTTTTGTAATGACTTTTGAACCATTTGTAATGCACATCCCGTGTGTGTGTGTGTGTGTGTGTGTGTACACACACACTTTACACACTTTACTTACTTACTTAGGCGATCCCTGTTAGTCTGAGGATAATGGTCTTTCAAGTGTAGTGTCCTGGCAGTGGGTCCGTAGGTGGCTGTGGAGCCCTATTCTTGCTCTGCATCTTCTTCCGCAGTGAGGGCATTGGTTTCCAGGTGGAAGGTGGTCTCAGTCGGGATTGGCTTGACGCGCCTTCCTCTTGGCACATTTCTCTCTTTCGCCCTCCACTCGTGCCTCCTCGAATTCTGTAGCACTGCTGGTCACAGCTTACCTCCAGCTGGAGCACTCAAGGGCCAGGGCTTCCCAGTTCTCAGTGTCTATGCCAGAGTTTTTGAGGTTGGCTTTGAGCCCATCTTTCAATCTCTTTTCCTGCCACCAACATTCCGTTTTCCGTTCTTAAGTTCAGAGTAGAGCAACTGCTTTGGGAGGCGGTGGTCAGGCATCCAGACAACGTGGCCAGTCCAGTGGAGTTGATGGCGGAGGACCATCGCTTCAATGCTGGTGGTCTTTGCTTCTTCCAGCACGCTGACATTTGCCCGCCTGTCTTCCCAAGAGATTTGCAGGATTTTCCGGAGGCAGCGCTGATGGAATCGTTCCAGGAGTTGCATGTGACATCTGTAGACAGTCCACGCTTCGCAGGCATAGAGCAGGGTTGGGAGGACAATAGCTTTATAGACAAGCACCTTGGTATCTCTATGGATGTCCCAGTCCTCAAACATTATTTGCTTTATTTGGAAAAATGCTGCACTCGCAGAGCCCAGGCGGTGTTGTATTTCAGTGTCAATGTTGACTTTTGTGGAGAGGTAGCTGCCAAGGGAGTGGAAATGTTCCACATTTTGTAATGTTACACCATTAAGCTGTATTTCTGGCATATACACACACATATACATACATATACGCACACTCAGCTCCATTCTGCCCTGCCACACCCCCCTGCCTTGGCATCCCCTTGCTTTGTTGCATTTTTGTCCTTGCAGCTTGCCTTTCCCTCGTCTCTGTGATTTAATTCCTCTTAATGAATTCCAGCTCCCAGCAACATCAAAGCCCCAAATGCATTCCTGTTGAGAGAATGCAAAGGAAACTGCTCTCCCTCCCTTCCCATTTCAGAAATGGGGATCCAAACCCCCCTGCCCCCCCCCCCCCCCCCCCCCCCCGCTCCAACCACCAAACTCCTCTGATGGAAGGCAATGGGGGAGAGGCAGCCTAATTCTCCTTTGATCCCCGTATGGGAAGCCAGCTTTCTGTGCATTTCGGAGGGGGCCAGCCATACGTACGTACGTGCGTACGAGGGAAGCGCTTAGACTTGCCATCTGTGCCTCATTTGAAAGCCATCTCACATGCGGACACCCAGTGGGAGCCTCTATTCACACAGCTCCATTTTTTGGGATGACGGGATACCCGAGATGGCCCAGGCTTCACACAGGGATCTGTGGTATAGGCCACAGTGGGAGAAACCTCAGCTTTGAGCGGGAGGTTTTGAAATCCGCATGTACTGAAATGGAGGCCAAACTTGGTAGGCTTTCCGATGTGCCTTTGACCATTCCACTTGTAGTCACACCACAAGCATCACACAATGTGAGTAATTCCTCGTGAGGGCTGGCAGCACCATTTTTAGATTAATATATTATAATTTTCAATTTACATATTCATAATTTTCAATTTACATATTCATATATGCATGAACCAATGCAATACTTCCTAGCATTTATGCAATATGCGTATTTGTTTATACCCTCCCTGCCTCCCACCCCTCCCAATTTAGTGGCTTCCCGTCCCTTTCTTCCTATTATATTGTTTTTCTATCCTTCCTTCCTTCCTTCCTTCCTTCCTTCCTTCCTTCCTTCCTTCCTTCCTTCCTTCCTTCCTTCTTCCTTTCTTTTTTTGTTTTTACCAAGTTTAGAAATGGTTCCCTGTCCTTGATAAACCTTTTTGTGTTTTTTTCCTTTGTCCATCATTGCTCATTTGCCCATTTCTGCTATTTTAAAAACTTTAAACTATCAATCCATCTATTGGGTTGTTGTGAGTTTTCCAGGCTGTATGGCCATGTTGCAGAAGCATTCTCTCCTGACATTTTGCCTGCATCTATGGCAGGGATTCTCATTCTTCTATTGTTGGGAGGTCTGCCTTCTTCCAGAACTGTGCATATATTGCCCTTGCTGCTATTCTCATAGAATCATAGAATAGAATCCTAGAATCCAAGAGTTGGAAGAGACCTCCTGGGCCATCCAGTCCAACCCCATTCTGCCAAGAAGCAGGAATATTGCATTCAAATCACCCCTGACAGATGGCCATCCAGCCTCTCTTAAAAGCTTCCAAAGAAGGAGCCTCCACCACACTCCCTCCGGGGCAGAGAGTTCCACTGCTGAACGGCTCTCACAGTCAGGAAGTTCTTCCTCATGTTCAGATGGAATCTCCTCTCTTGTAGTTTGAAGCCATTGCTCCATTGCGTCCTAGTCTCCAGGGAAGCAGAAAACAAGCTTGCTCCCTCCTCCTCCCTGTGGCTTCCTCTCACATATTTATACATGGCTATCATGTCTCCTCTCAGCCTTCTCTTCTTCAGGCTAAACATGCCCAGCTCCTTAAGCTGCTCCTCATAGGGCTTGTTCTCCAGACCCTTGATCATTTTAGTCGCCCTCCTCTGGACACATTCCAGCTTGTCAATCTCTCTCTTGAATTGTGGTGCCCAGAATTGGACACAATATTCCAGATGTGGTCTAACCAGAGTGGAATAGAGCACGGGGAGCATGACCTCCCTGCACCTAGACTCTATGCTCCTCTTGATGCAGGCCAAAATCCCATTGGCTTTTTTTGCCGCCACATCACATGGTTGGCTCATGTTTAACTTGTTGTCCACGAGGACTCCAAGATCTTTTTCACACGTTCTGCTCTCGAGCCAGGCCTTGTCCCCCATTCTGTATCTTTGCATTTCGTTTTTCATGCAGTGCAGTACTTCATAGTTTCATAGTTGCTTATTTGACATTCTCAATAAAAAATAATTTGGGCTCCAATTTCTTTCTTTATTTATCGTGTCAGGAGCGACTTGAGAATACAGTTATACTGTATTTTTTAAAAAATACAAAGTTAAAAACTTGGCATTCTACTAAATGTCCTTTGACCAGTCTCTGTCCCCTTGGAGTGCTTCTGGTGTTGCCGCAAGAAGGTCCTCCCTTGTGCATCATGTGGCAGGGCTCAGGGTGCATTGCAGCAGGTGGTCAGTGGTTTGCTCTCCTCCCCATTCGCATGTCGAGGATTCCACTTTGTGGCCCCATTTCTTGAGGTTGGCTCTGCATCTCGTGGTGCCAGAGTGCAGTCTGTTCCGTGCCTTCCAGGTCATCTACTCTTTTGTGTGCCCAAGGGGGAGTCTCTCATTTGGCATCAGTCATGGAGTGAGGTTCTGGATGCAATACTGGCGAAACAGTATAACTTCTGCTGTTAGACACTGTTCCCTCGCTTATCGCACGTGTTACGTTCCAGGACTACCCGTGAAAAGTGAAAATCCATGAAGTAGGGAGGCTATACCAGTCATAAACTGGGAGGCAAAAACCCGCAAAACAGCGAGTCTGTGAAAAGCGAGCTGCGAAGTAGCGAGGGAACACTGTATCTTCATTCATAACATTTGTATGACACAGGAGGCAAAACTTTTTGACCCACTCTCGTATACTTATTGCTTACTTTTTTTGGCCAATAAGTTACTTTTTTGCCTTCTCTTTTCCAGGTCTCAGCTGTTTTCTCCAAGCCAGACCAACGGTGAAAATTCCCCCGAGATGCTCTCCATACAGTTTCAGGTGAGTTCATTAAGCTTGGGGAGGCAAGTGGTCTTACACCTGAAATCCAGCATGCTGTGGGAATTATGGATGTAGCCTTGATCCCCATTTTCTTGTTAGTATTGAAGTAAAGAGGAGTGCACGCATTAAGGAATGCATTAGACAGGAAAATCTGGATCCAGCAGAGCTGTTACAGAGTCCAATAGTTCATAAACCCATCTCATTTGGCTGCAACATGTTGTGATAATGTATTTTGCACTTTGGAGTACAATCCATGTAAGTTTTTCCACCTCACCCATGGCAAGAATCTTCCTTCACCATTTCACAATAAGCAGCACAGTTGCCCATTTTCCAGTTTCCCAACAGCAACTTTTGGGCTGCAAGGAATACATTTGGTAAAACAAAACAATGCCTGGCTCAAGAGCAGGACGTGTGAAAAAGATCTTGGAGTCCTCGTGGACAACAACAAGTTAAACATGAGCCAGGAATGTGATGTGGCGGCAAAAAAAGCCAATGGGATTTTGTCCTGTGTCTAGATCTAGGGAAGTCCTGCTCCCCATGCTCTATTCCGCCTTGGTCACACCTGGAATATTGTGTCCAATTCTGGGCACCACAATTCAAGAGAGATATTGACAAGCTGGAATGTGTCCAGAGAAAGAGGGCGACTAAAATGATCAAGGGTCTGGAGAACAAGCCCTATGAGGAGCGGCTTAGGGAACTGGGCATGTTTAGCCTGAAGAAGAGAAGGCTGAGAGGAAATATGATAGCCATGTGTAAATATGTGAGGGGAAGTCATAGGGAGGAGGGAGCATGGGGAGCATGACTTCCCTAGATCTAGACACTAGGCCCGTGATGACGAACCTATGACACGTGTGTCAGCACTGACACGCGTAGCCATTTTCGATGACACACAGCCGCATGCGGCCGCATACAGAGAAGATGGGGCCGCATCCCAAGAAGGACATTTCATCCTCGGCTCCCACACCACCATCTTTCTATAATGCCGAGATATATGGCATTATAGAAAAAGCAGGTAACTTAAATAATTAGTTTTTGGTTTATTAAATACAGTTATATATTACAATAATATATTTTTGTTATTAAACTATAAATATCATGAAATTATGGGTTTTTCTTGAAGTGACACCCCACTCGAGTTATGCTTGGTTAATTGACACACCAAACTCAAAAGGTTGCCCATCATTGCACTCGGCTCCTCTTGATGCCTGAGGCCAAAATCCCATTGGCTTTTTTTGCCGCCACATCACATTCCTGGCTCATGTTCACCTTCCTCCCCACGAGGACTCCCAAGATCTTTTCCACACGTCCTGCTCTCGAGCCAGGCCTCATCGTCCCCCATTCTGTCTCTTTGCATTTCAAAGCAAGTACGTATACTTGCTTTGAATTTTGCTATATAGAGCAATAGGTCTTTGCGGAGAGAATAGGGGCGAGGTTGTCATTTCTACTGTCTTAATTCAATGCACATTTCCTTAATTGACATTTAACATGAATACGTTTCTGCTTTGATGGTTGCACATTCCTGAATTTTGTGACACACGTGGACAGTGTGGTTGTGGCGGCGGTGGGGAATCCATAGATTAGAATAAAGAGTTGCTAAAGAGGCATACATTAGCAAGATCTTAATACATTAGGGGAAAATTACCTCTGTCTGTTGAGGAGGAATTCCAGTGAGCTCTTTAGGTTTGTCTTACTTACTTACTTACTTACTTAGGCGATCCCTCGTAGTCCAAGGATGATGGTCCTCCAAGTTCGGTGTCCTGGGGGTGGGTCCGTAGGTGGCTGTGGAGTAGAGCAACTGCTTTGTCCGCCTATCATCCCAAGAAATTTGCAGGATTTTCCGGAGGCAGCGCTGATGGAATCGTTCCAGGAGCTGCATGTGACGTCTGTAGAATGGAATCATTCCAAGAGTTGCATGTGACGTCTGTAGACAGTCCACGTCTCACAGGCATAGAGCAGGGTTGGGAGGACAATGGCTTTATAGACAAGCCCCTTGGTCTCCCTACGGATGTCCCGGTCCTCAAACACTCTCTGCTTTACTCCGAAAATAAGCTGCACTTGCAGAGCTCAGGCAGTGTTGTATTTCAGCCCAAATGTTGATGTCTGTAGACAGTCCACGTTTCGCAGGCGTATAGCAGGGTTGGGAGGACAATAGCTTTATAGATAAGCACCTTGGTCTCCCTACGGATGTCCCGGTCCTCAAACACTCTCTGCTTCATTTGGAAAAATGCTGCACTCGCAGAGCTCAGGCAGTGTTTTATTTCAGCCCAAATGTTGATGTCTGTAGACAGTCCACGTTTCGCAGGCGTATAGCAGGGTTGGGAGGACAATAGCTTTATAGATAAGCACCTTGGTCTCCCTACAGATGTCCCGGTCCTCAAACACTCTCTGCTTCATTCAGAAAAATGCCTCACTCGCATAGCTCAGGCAGTGTTGTATTTCAGCCCAAATGTTGATGTCTGTAGACAGTCCACGTTTCGCAGGCGTATAGCAGGGTTGGGAGGACAATAGCTTTATAGATAAGCACCTTGGTCTCCCTACGGATGTCCCGGTCCTCAAACACTCTCTGCTTCATTCGGAAAAATGCTGCACTGCAGAGCTCAGGCGGTGTTGTATTTCAGTCATAATGTTGATGTCTGTAGACAGTCCATGTTTCGCAGGCATATAGCAGAGTTTGGAGGACAATAGCTTTATCAACAGATGCACCTTGGTCTCCCTATGGATGTCCCGGTCCTCAAACACTCTCTGCTTCATTCGGGAAAATGCTACACTTGCAGAGCTCAGGCAGTGTTGTATTTCGGTGTCAATGTTGACTTTGGTGGAGAGGTGGCTGCCAAGGGCGGAAATGGTCAACATTTTCTAATGTTAAGCTGTATTTCTGAATAGCAGGGTTGGGAAGACAATAGCTTTATAAACAAGCACCTTGGTATTCCTACGGATGTCCCGGTCCTCAAACACTCTCTGCTTCATTTGGAAAAATGCTGCACTCGCAGAGCTCATGCAGTGTTGTATTTCAGTGTCAATGTTGACTTTGGTGGAGAGATGTATAGCAGGGTTGGGAGGACAATAGCTTTATAGATAAGCACCTTGGTCTCCCTACGGATGTCCCGGTCCTCAAACACTCTCTGCTTTACTCCGAAAATAAGCTGCACTCGCAGAGCTCAGGCAGTGTTGTATTTCAGCCCAAATGTTGATGTCTGTAGACAGTCCACGTTTCGCAGGCGTATAGCAGGGTTGGGAGGACAATAGCTTTATAGATAAGCACCTTGGTCTCCATACGGATGTCCCGGTCCTCAAACACTCTCTGCTTTACTCTGAAAAAAAGCTGCACTTGCAGAGCTCAGGCGGTGTTGCATTTCGGTGTCAGTGCTGACTTTGGTGGAGAGGTGGCTGCCAGCCTTAGGTTTGTGTGCCAGGAGCTGGTGACCTATAGTGGTTTCCGCATTGAGTTATCATTCTGGAGACAAGGGCTCAAATTTCTGGTCATCCTTTAAAAAATTACCAGAACAACTGTGGGCCCTTTCGGACAGGCCCTATATCCCAGGATCTGATCCCGGGTTTTGCTGTTTATAATAATAAAAATAGTAGTAGTAGTAGTAGTAGTAGTAGTAGTAGTAGTAGTAAATACCCCGCCAGCATCTCCCCAATGGGGACTCGGGGCGGCTTACATGAGTCCAAGCCCAACAGCACATTACAATAAAGTAAAACCAACAACACAATAACAACACAGTAAAATACATACAACATATGAGTACAGAAAACGATAAAGCAAAATCATACACAGTAAAATAAAATAACATAACATAACAATGAGCGGGCTGCATATGCAAGATAAACACTAAGATACTAGAAATACTAAAATCAGGATGAGATTCTAGGGATGGAGCAGATTGTTTGTGGGGGAGAAACTCGTAAGGAACAAGGTCGTAAAACTAGACCTTCATCCAGGTGGGGAAATAGGCTCTGGGGACAAAAACTGTTGAGGGGGAGCAACTGTGTATGATAATATGGGTGCTTTCCAAAAGTGCATCGGAAAAGCCAGGTTTTGAGATCCCTCTTGGAAATTTCTAAAGTGGGGGCCTTCCTAATCTCACCGGGCAATGAGTTCCAGAGTCGGGGGGCCACAGAGGAGAAGGCTCTCTCCCTTGTGCTTACAAGACGAGCCTGTGGTAATGGCAAGGGCGAAAGGAGAGCCTCCCCCAAGGATCTAAGAGCTCGGGCTGGTTCATGGAGAGAGATCCGGTCGCAAAGTTAGGCGGGTCCCAAACCATTTAGGGCTTTGTAGGTGAGAACCTGCACCTTGAATTGGGACCGGAAGACAAACAGCAGCCAGTGAAACTCTTTGAACAGGGGAGTTGACCTTTCCCTGTAATTTGCCCCGGTTATTAATCTGGTGCACATTGGACGAGTTGTAATTTCCGGGCCGTCTTCAAGGGTAGCCCCACATAGAATTCATTGCAGTAATCCAGTCTAGAGGTTTATCCCAGATTATCTGGCAGTGTGGACTCATATAAATCAGTTTATAAACAGAAAACAGGGGATCAGATCCTGGGATATAGGGCCTGTCCAAAAGGACCCGGAGTGGTTCTGGTAATTTTTTAAAGGATGCAATTCTGTAAGAAGTGGAGCTGTCCAACTGGGGAATTTCCAGCACTCTCTTGGGCAGTAATCACATGGCTGATCCTTCCCACAAGAATGGCTGATGCGCCAAACTTGCCAACACTGCATGAGAAGGACGGTTGGGCAGGGCTGGCTCCCTCATTACGGACAGGCAGAACTTCTCAGGTCTCAAATTTTGGAAGACTACGAAAGGGGATGCCAATGTGGATGTGCAGCACTGTGCATTGATGTCTCTGGGAGTTTCCGCCTCTGGCACACAAAGTCTCCAGCCGTCTTCTGTGTTGCACATGGTTCCTGACTGTTGCAGTTCAACGTTTGGTTGTGCATGTACCTGATCTTTCTGAGGATTCTGGGCCATCAAATCATTCTGATGACACTGGGTTTGCAAGTCAGCAGAAGAGCCAGCAAGAGATTTTAAGGCCTGAAAATGAGTTTTCTATGTCTGAAGGCCACATTCCTGAAAGGCATTTCACTAGGCAAGAAAGGTCACAATCAGATCTGAGCTCAGAGAATGAAAATGAAAGTCCAGGTGGACAGACTAATGAGCAGTTAGATAGGAGATTTATGTTCCATCAACATAGGGCTTCTCCGGAGAGTGTAGGAAGATCAAGATGAGTCCTTATCAGTTTCCCAGGAGAGAAGGCATGATTTTCTCTCTATATTAGCTAGCCCCACTATTGTCAAGTCAAGAGATTTCAAGATCCATGTTCATGTGATCAAGGGTCTGGACAACAAGCCCTATGAGGAGCGGCTTAAGGAGCTGGGCATGTTTGGCCTGAAGAAGAGAAGGATGAGAGGAGATATGATGAAGGCCATGTGTAAATATGTGAGAGGAAGCCACAGGGAGGAGGAGGGAGCAAGCTTCCTTTCTGCTTCCTTGGAGACTAGGACGCAAGGGAGCAATGGCTTCAAACTACAAGAGAGGAGATTCCATCTGAACATGAGGAAGAACTTCCTGACTGTGAGAGCCATTCAGCAGTGGAACTCTCTGCCCCGGAGTGTGGTGGAGGCTCCTCCTTTGGAAGCTGGCCATCTGTCAGGGGTGTTTTGAATGCAATATTCCTGCTTCTTGGCAGAATGGGGTTGGACTGGAGGATGGCCCATGAGGTCTCTTCCAACTCTTTGATTCTATGATTCTATGTCTCATGATTCCAAGTTTTAAGGACTGTTCCTAAATCTCATGTTTTGGATTTATTCTGCTTTTGTATTCCTGGTTCTTGATGCTACTCCTGTACTTTGATTTCTGTGGATTATTCCTGATATTTGGACTTTGGTTTTTTTATACTATCTTGCTGAAATGCTATCTCTCTCTCTCTCTCTCTCTCTGTCTCTCTATCTCTCTATCTCTCTCTCTCTCTATCTCTCATCTCCCTCATTAAACTTCTTTGCAATCTTACCTTGGATTGGAGTGTGTGCTAAGTACAGAGGCGGTCCCCAGCCTTGGAGTGCAACACTGACATTGTGTTTTTGTGGTCTTTCTTTCAAGAGTGCTGTGAGGACCAGGGATGATGGCCAGAACTCCGTGCGATCCTCCTTCTCTAGCCCGGCCTCCATCAGTCCGCGGCCCAGCAGCCCTTTCTCTCCTCCGTCTCCCGGAGGTCGATCCGGGAGCCCGTACAGCCCTCGGAGACCCAGTTTGCCCAGTGAAGGCAGAGAGGAGTCCATGACCAACAGCCGCAGGTACCTAACATTGTCTGTATTTGCATCCACAGATTTGGCACCAATGAATTCAACGAACTATGGCTTCAACATATATATATATATATATATATATAGAGAGAGAGAGAGAGAGAGAGAGAGAGAGAGAGCAGCTACAGCTCTCATGATTCCATAACATTGAGCCAGGACAGCTAAAATGAAGTCAAACTGCATTAATTCTACCATGTAGACCAGCATTCCTCAACCTGGAGGTTGGGGAGGGGGGTCACAAGGAGGGTGTCAAAGGGGTCTCCAAAGACCATAAGCATTTCTTGTTGGTCATGGGGGTTCTGTGTAGGAAGTTTGGCTCAATTCTATCGTTGGTGGGGTTCGGAATGCTCTTTGATTCTAGGTGAACTATAAATCCCAGCAATTACAACTCCCAAATGTCAAGATTCTATTTTCCCCAAACTCCACCACATTTGGGCATATTGAATATTCGTGTAGAGTTTGGTCCAGATCCATCATTGTTTGAGTCCACAGTGACCTCTGGATGTAGGTGAACTACAACTCCAAAACCAAAGGACACTGCCCACCAAACCCTTCCAGTATTTTCTGTTGGTCGTGGGAGAAGTGTGTGCCATGTTTGATTCAATTCCATCATGGGTGAACTATAAATCCCAGCAACTACAACTCCCAAATGTCAAGATTCTATTTTCCCCAAACTCCATCACATTTGGGCATATTGCGTATTTGTGTAGAGTTTGGTCCAGATCCATCATTGTTTGAGTCCTCTGGATATAGGTGAACTACAACTCCAAAACCAAAGGACACTGCCCACCAAACCCTTCCAGTATTTTCTGTTGGTCACGAGAGTTCTGTGTGCCAAGTTTGGTTCAATTCGATCGTTGGTGTGGTTCAGAATGCTCTTTGATTGTAGGTGAACTATACATCCCAGCAACTACAACTACCAAATGACAAAATCAATTTTTTTTGAGTGAAGGACATAGATTGGGCTGTTAGGTGTCTTGTGTCCAAATTTGGTGTCAATTCATCCAGTGGTTTTTGAGTTCTGTTCATCCCACAAAACGAACATGACACTTTTATTGATATAGACACCTGCATTCTCTTCCAGCTTCCAGTCTCTGGTGAGTTCGGCCAGGATCTCCGGAGAACGGTCTCCGCCGCTGCCGGGCCAGCAGTATTCAAGCAGCAGACAGGTAGAGGTTCAGGAGAGTTTCTGCAATTCTATTGTCGAAGGCTTTCATGGCCGGAATCCATGGGTTGTTGTAGGTTTTTCTGGGCTATATGGCCATGTTCTGGAGGCAATTTTTCTCCTGACGTTTCGCCTGCATCTATGGCAAGCATCCTCAGAGGTAATGAGGTCATTTCTGCAATTCCCCAGCACCCTGTAGATGTGGTCTGTGTAGAATCATCTCCGCTGCTCTGTGCTATTTGTTTTAGAAATATGGCTTCCCTTTGGCATTTCCAGGAGCCCCGGTGGTGCAGCGGGTTAAAGCGCTGAGCTGCTGAACTTGTTGACCGAAAGGTTGCAGGTTCAAATCTAGAGAGCGCCATAAGTTCCTGCTGTTAGCCCCAGCTTCTGCCAATCTAGCAGTTCGAAAACATGCAAATGTGAGTAGATCAATAGGTACCGCTCTGGTGGGAAGGTAACAGTGCTCTATGCAGTCATGGCACTCCATGCAGCAAATGACCTTGGAAGTTGTTGCACTCCAGGTCAGGAAAAAGCCCTCTGACTTTAAAACACGCCACACGAAGAGTGAAGAAACAAATCTTCTTTTATTGAAGCTTAGTAAATATCCAGAAGAAATAAATGCTTGTAAGAAAATAAGAAAGTTCCAAAAAGTAATAAGTCCATAAGAGGTAGTAACACAAAGCAATGTCCACACCAGATATAAAAGCAATCCAAGACAGCATTTATCCAGACAGGAATCAACAGGATGCAAAGACAATCCTAAAGGCTAAATACTCCACAGGAACAAAACCCCTCGATCAGGATTTCCATGGCACATGAACTTGGTTTCCAAACGATGCCTGATCTAACAGGTTTCCCCTTGAGGCAAACGTTATATCCCAAAACTCAGAAATTGGTTTCGCTTTCCCCCGTATTTTCCCCTTATCAGGCGAAGCCTGTCAGAGTGATGTAAACCCTGAGTTTGCTGTCGATCCTGGCCGATCTCCAGCCGCCTATTCTTCAGCTCCCGATCTGGCCGCTTATTAAAATTCCCAGGTGTCAGATTGTTTTCCAAACCCAAATCTTGAGAGCTCACAGAGAGAGAGAGAGAGAACTATGATTGCTAGGCCCAGCAGGGATATTCTCATGAGAAACTGCCCTTTGCACTGCGGCCTCTCTGTCATTGTCTGCAAGAAAATCATTGACCAAACCATCTCCATCTTGTACCTCAGCCTCAGCACCATCATTCCTCTCATCATTTCCCTCATCATTTCCCACATCAGGATCCTGAAACACACAAACACAGGCTGATTCCCAACAGAGGTGTCTATGGACAACGCTGGCTCTTCAGCTTAGAAATGGAGATGAGCACCAGCATCCCAGAGTCGGATACAACTAGACTTAATGTCAGGGGAAAATCTTTACTATATGTAGTTTAATTTATGGATGTCAAATCTGATTCACTGATGCTAAGTTTTTAATTAGATGTTAGGTGTAATGCTCCTTTTATATGTGGGGTTATTCTGGAATTTTATGTTAGGATCATGCGTTTTACGTAGGCATTGAATGTTTGCCATTGTTATGTTGGAATCCGTCCTGAGTCCCCTCGGGGAGATAGGGCGGAATATAAATAAAGTTGTTGTTATTATTTTACTGACACAAAATCACAGTATATGTCACAGCCAACGAGATCTCTCTGCTGGATTTCGTATCACAAAATCTCAAGTCGAATCCTTCCCAAGCATCTAGGGCTGTGTGATGTATTTTTGAATGATGCGCGCAGATCCAAGTCAGGCGGCCTTTTGCAGTTAACAGATTGTGATTTTGTCCATGTGTATTGTTTCCAAATGCCGGCTGAGATCTTCTGGCATGGCACCCAGTGTGCCCATTATGACCACTGGGACCCCCTGGACTGGTTGATGCCGCCAGAGCCTTTGCAGTTCGATTTTGAGGACTTGATGGCGACTGAGTTTTTCCTGTTGTTTGTCCTCAATGCGACTGTCACCTGGAATAGTGACATCAGACTTTTTTCTTTTCCACAATTGTGAGTTCTGGAGTATTGTATTCCAAAACTTTGTCAGTCTGGATTCGAAGGTTCCACAGTACTTTTGCGTGTTCATTTTCCACGACTTTTGCAGGTTTATGAACCTTTTACCAGTTCTTTACTATTGGCAGTAAAGACATAAGTTCCAGTGAATCCTCTGGGCCACAGAGTTGTGCCTCTGTTTGTTGTCCGTCTGTGCAATTTTCTTGCAACAGCTGAGGAGATGGTCCATGGTTTCATACGCTTCCTTGCACAGTCTGCATTTTGGGTCATCCGCTAATTTTTCAATCCTGGTCTTAATTATTATTATTTTACTGACACAAAATCACAGTATATGTCACAGCCAACGAGATCTCTCTGCTGGATTTGGTATCACAAAATCACAAGTCGAACCCTTCCCAAGCGTCTAGGACTGTGTGATATATTTCCAAATGATGCGTGCAGATCCAAGTCAGGAGGCCTTTTGCAGTTGACAGATCATGATTTTGTCAGTGTTTATTGTTTCCAAATGCTGGCTGAGATCTTTTGGCACGGCACCCAGTGTGCCCATTATGACCACTTGGACCCCCTGGACTGGTTGATGCCATCAAAGCCTTCTCAGTTTGATTTTGAGGTCTTGATAGCGGCTGAGTTTCTCCTGTTGTTTTTCCTCAATGCGACTCTCACCTGGAATGGAGACATCAATAATCCAGACTTTTTTCTTTTCCACAATCGTGATGTCTGGTGCATTGTGTTTCAAAACTTTGTCAGTCTGGATTCAAAAGTCCCACAGTATTTTTGCGTGTTCACTTTCCCCTACATCATCATCATCATCACCATCATCATCATCATTATTATTATTATTATCATAATTCCCATTGACATTAGGTACAACATCGGGTATCTGTAGTGGCTGATTAGGTACAACATTAGGTATCATTGGCTGCATCACAACAGTCATTCTATACAAAAGCCACATCTTAGGATTGCTTTAGGTGAAAAACAACTTCAAAGCAACTCAACCACAAAGCAAAGGTCATTTTCTCATAATGACATCTCCATGTTTGCAACTAGGAGGTTTTTTGGGGTTTTCTTTTGTGTCAGGAGTGACTTATATAATAATAATAATAATAATAATAATAATAATACTTTATTTATACCCCGCTCCCACCTCCCCAAGGGACTCGGTGTGGCTTACATGAGGCCGAGCCCACAGCACATCAATAAACAAAGCAATAACAAAACAATCAATGCAATACAATTAATATAAATCACATAGACAAAACAATAAACAATGTTCTGTCACGCACTGGGCCTGTAATAATTGTCTTTTGAAACAGGATGTGCACCTTGTGCCCAGCGGGAAGCCAGGGTACCACAAAAGAGGCCCTCAAGGATTTTCCTGAAGAAACAGTCTTTAGATGGCTTGAAAGGTTAAACAAAGTCCTTTATTATTGAACAAATCAAACAGATATTTCTCAAATCTTCAATGAGTCAAACCAATGCTTCAAGGCTTTAAATCAACTGGTGGCTTCCTTCATCTTGTCCACAAGGGACAGGCAACTGTCTTCGTTAACTGTTCTTATACTTTGAGAGGAAAACCCTTTTTTAACCTCTCCCATACTGTCTGTTATCTAAGCTTTGTTGGTGTGGGATCTACTACCGATTCTAAACTGTGTCTTGGTACCGAGTAAACCTACCAGACAAAGCTTGTAGATACTCCAGCTGGAGTTCTTTGGGTCTGTAAAGCTGTTTTCCCTCTGGAATTTCTTTAAGGCTTTAGGGCTGTTTCCCTCAGATGCTGTAAGGCTGAGAGGCTGCAAGCTCCCAGCCAGAACTTTGGGAATTTCCCCCCGGAATGTCGAGAAATGAAGCTTTTCTGCAGGTGAAGCTTGTCCACGTCCTCTAACTTAGCTTTTCTCACTAAGACTAACTAAAAATGGCCCCCTCTTCCCTTCCCATCTCCCTGGGAGAAGGGGCGGATTCAAACTTAACAATGATAGACAGGTGGCTAGCCCTATGACTGCAAACCAAAGGAAGCCACCTTTGTGCAGAATCCCTGAAACTTTGGAGTGCATGCAAACACTTAATAGAAAGTAAATGAAGTTGGAGCTCCTGGTACAGACGTACCAGCACAAACAATAACACATAAGCATTTAAAAAAACAATGGCTGGGCCAAATGTAATAATGTATAAATTTAAAAAATAACGCTGAGCATGAACAAGGTAGGACTTGAGTAACTTCAAGTTGCTTCTGGTGTGAGGGAATTGGCCGTCTGCAAGGACGTTGGCCAGGGGACACCCAGGTGTTTTTTTAATGTTTTACCATCCTTGTGGGAGGCTTTTCTCATGTCCCCGCATGGGGAGCCAGAGCTGACAGAGGGAGCTCATCCACGCTCTCTGCGGATTTGAACCTGTGACCTGTTGTTCTTCAGTCCTGCCGGCACAGGGGTTTAACCCACTGCGCCATTGGAGGTTTCCAACTAGGAGGTAAAGTGTTTTCTTCCTCCACATATGCAGTTGCAAAAGGAAAAATAGCCAATGGGCAACCTTATTTGAAACGTATTGTTTTCTACTAGATGCTTATCTTGGTCTTTCAGGTCTTTGACTGTGGTTGTAACTGAGTTGTAACTGAGTTATCCAAGCTCTCTCCTAATAGTATTAAGTTTTGCAGCCTTTGTTGCTCGCATCTGTGTATGCGTCCGTGCCACTTGCACATGTCCCTGCAGGTACTGGCACACCTGGCTGCAGATGTTTGTTTATTCCTACCTGGGGTTCCTAAGCAACACCTGAGAGCCAGGGAGGCAGAACCAGTTTCGGGAGGCATCTTTTGGACACAGGAGATGTGAGCTGTTGACACTGGAAGCTGCTTCCTGCCTGCCATGATTCCCGCTCTTTGCTCTTGGGATCTAGACACGATCTAAGTCCCTCGACTGCCTCCGGCAAAGTTTGGGCTGTTTATAATATTGGGAGCCTTGATTCAAGCTTGGCCGCATCCTTAG